ATATAGCACACAAGTTTTTTGCATTAACACACACACACACACACACACACACACACAGTCTTCAACCCCATTGTGCTTGCGCTTGTGGAACCTTAGCGACTGTCGACATACATCTCAGGGATTCTCTTTGAAAAAAAAAGGGGGAAAAAAGAAGAAAAAAATGATCATGAAAAAATGTACAATAATAAAATGCTATTCTAAGCTGCAAAATCAAACATTATCACAAGGCTGGGAAAAAAATCAATATTGAATTAGTTTTTTAGTCATACCGGCCAGCTCTGACACTAAGTCCTCTTATCATGAGAAGTAAACATTGAATCTGCATCTCCGCGAGCACAAACACTTCAAACGCTGCATAAATACAGCTAAAAACACTGATGTCTCAAGTCTTTCAGCGTCCTCGAGCTCTTGCAGGAGAAGAGACATTCGTCTGCATTCATTTGCCTTCTCTTCACATTCATCACTCGCCGTGGCCTCTCATAAAGGGTTGAGAGGCATCTGAGTGTGTGACGAGGAGGAAAAACATCAACAGCTTTCAATCAATACAAAGACTTACAACCAGTTTATCATTCTGTCGCTCTTGCCTGGCTGTCAGGTGTGAAGTACTGGCTTATTGAGCAAGTTTCCCCACAAAAAGGCCATTTTAATCTCTACTGTGTCTTTTTCCTTACATTTAAGAGAAATTCAGAGCTGTAAACACGAGTCCAGATTAAAAAACAAACACTTAGAAATGTCTGAATTTCATTCATTAGATCAAGTGCGATCTGTGCTCAAGACTAAATGACACTCAATATTAAACTGTGGCTTATAATTCTATCTACACCATTTATATTACATCAGTGATTGAGAAGAGGTTTCCTGCTATGTTTCAAAATGATCAGACTTTGGTTTTTGCCATGGAACGTGCTCAAATTGACTATTAAAATGCATACACTAATGTTCAAAATTTTTGGGTTGATAAGATTTTTGAAAGAAGTCTCTTCTGCTCACCAAGGCTGCATTTATTTGATCAAAAATACAGTAAAAACAGTAATATCATGAAATAGTATTACAAATCAAAATAACTGTTTTCTACTTGAATATATTTTTAAACTGTAATTTATTGCTGTGATGCGAAGCTGAATTTTCAGCATGATTCCTCCAGTCTTCAGTGTCACATGATCCTTCAGAAAACATTCTAATATGCTGATTTGCTGCTCAAGAAACATAGAAAACAGTTAGAAAACAGTTGCCTTTTAATAATTTTGTGGAAACCAGGATTTTTCAGGATCCTTTGATGAATAGAAAAGTGCAAAATAGCATTTATTTGAAATAGGGATGTAACGATTACCAGTTTGACGATAAATCGTGATAAAATACCCCACGGTTAGTATTACCGTTTCATATTTTAATTATCACTATAACCGTATTCGATTACCGCGATTTGAACAACTGAGGATAAATAAATACTGTACCAATGATTTGTGTGTCAGTACTTTTTGAACATTTCCAGCACATTTTAACAATACCGTGATAATACTGATAACCGTGATCATTTTGGTCACTATAATCGTGATAAGAAATTTTCATACCGTTACATCCCTAATTTGAAATATAAATCCTTTGTAACGTTATAAATGTCTTTACTGTGACTTTTGGTCATTTAATGCATCTTGGTTAAAAAAAAACTCAAAAGATTTGAACAATAGTGTTTATTTAAACTGAAGGAGGAACTTACACCATCACACCATACAGTATCAAAATAAAATAAAATAGAATATAACCAATCAGAACAGCTTAGCAACTGCCTAGCAACACCTTATCAACCAACCAATCAGAGCACTAAAACTCAAATACAAGGAAAATTTTTAAGCCAACCACAATATCGCTTTGAAAAATCTACTTTTATTGCTATATTTTTACTCTATATGAACAATTGTATAATTTCAATAAATTTTTACTTTTTAATTTATTTTTAATTGTACTAAATTGAATAATTTCATTTTTTGAAGGAACATCTAAGACAAAGTTCTACACTCCATTAAATCCCTGAAATATGAAAGAGAAACTAAAGTTTTCTTCTGGCCAAGTCATAGCTTCATTTTTGTTTGTTTATTTGTGTTTTTTGTGAGACTTTTGTCAGAAAAGCTCCGCATATGCGTAATGGGGCAAAACTGCAGCGTTTCAGGCCCGTAAAGTGGGTGGAATGTTGCAGTTATTGTCCTCGTAGCACAAGTTTGCCGTTGAACCAGGATTTCCACAACAAAACAGCAGTTCGGCCCCACACCCACTACTTCCTCCTATTCTGTTCCAAAAGGAAGCACAGCCTCTGTGATACAGGGATCGCTGTCTGCTCGTTCCCACAAAACGTCCTCGGCTAGATCCCGAGCGCTGCACTTGTGGCGCTGGTTAGTTTGAACACTCCCCTGTCGTGTCTCAGAGGAGCCCGCTGTTCATAAAGAAAACTATTTCACACGTTTTGGTTGAGTAAAATTGAACCTATGTTTCTGCCCTTTTCTCTGTGCCAAGCGAGAAAGTCCCGCCTCTCTGGCTCCGTGCAGCAAATGAAAAGTCAGAAAGCAGAAGACGGGCAGCATTGCATACAGAGGTTAACGTTCCTCGCTGGGTTTGGGTTTTGCCACATGTGCTTTGGGCCGGGGAGGAGAGGACTGTGTGGTCAGAGCGAGACCAAACCGAAGTACCACTCAAGTCTGCGCAAAACGCTTTTCTCTCAGAGCGTTGAGGCGGTTTATGAATGAGAAAAAAGGCCATTTCAATATTCTCAGCTCTTATTGAAGCCAACATGTTTGCGTGATTACAAAATACTTACGACTAGAGCTGTTAAGATTGCACACATATGTGTGGGTCGCCCGGTTCAAAGTAGAACAAAAACGCAATTTCGATAAACAACCTAAATTTATATAATATAAATATGCTGGCCGACATTTTTATCCTAAGCAACTTATGATACACTCATTTCAGGTGCAGTAAAAGCTCAAGAACACTAAAGTCACCAGATATGAGCAGGATATCAACAACTCTAACGTTAGTCTGTCATACCTATGTAAGACTGAACCTGCAACATTTCTATTAGCAGCACAGAACTAACCACTGGGCTACAAACATCCTATATGAGACATAAGGACTTAATACAGTATCGTTCAAAAGTTTGGGGGAAGAAGTCTCTTCTGCTCACCAAGGCTGCATTTATCTGATCAAAAACAGTTATATTCTGAAATATTTTTACAATTTAAAATAAGTGCTTTCTATGTGAATATCTGTTAAGATGTAATTTATTTCTGTGATCAAAGCTGAATTTTCAGCATCATTACTCCAGTCTTCAGTGTCACATGATCTTCAGAAATCATTCTAATATGCTGATTTGCTGCTCAAGAAAATGTATTATTATTATCAATGTTGAAAACAGTTTTGCTGCTTTATAATTTTGTGGAAACTGTGATGCATTTTTTACATGATTCTTGAAAATAAAGTTCAAAAGAACAGCCTTTATTTGAAATAGAAATCTGTTTGCAACATTATAAATGTCCTCACTGTCATTTTTGATCAATTTAATGTGTCCTTGCTGAATAAAAGCATTAACATCTTACTGTCCCCAAACTTTTGAATAGTAGCGCAACGACTTGTAGTCAAACAAAAAGGTTTTTCAATGGCAGATACCGATGTAAATGATGGCAAATAATATGTATACTACATGCTGAAATGAATCGAAAACTTATTTTACACAATATGCACTCAAATGAATAACAGAAATGTTTATAATTTATTGACACAAGCAGAAACTAATGCTAATAATCTCAATAAGGCCAAATATCGGCTAATAAATCATCCGAACCAGTTTATCTATAACTAGCAATGACTGAAGAATCTAACATTACGTTGGTGATCTGTAGGAGTTAATAAAAATGATGCAGAACTGCAACTGGTGATATAAATATAGTAAATAATATCAAACATGTTTTGTGGAACTGCGTCAGAAACTGAATCCAACTACAGTACAACTTGTAGTCAAACAAAGAAGGTTTTGAAAGGCAGATATTGATGTAAATGATTGCAAACAATATATACATTAACTGCTATAATGAATCAAACACTTATTTTACATGATATGCGTGCAAAAAAAAAAAAAAAAATGCATATACTTCAATGACACATGAAGAAACTAAATCAGCGAGGTTCTCACCAATGCTAATCATCTCAATATGGCCAAATATCGTCCAATTAATCATATTTTGTGGGAACTATGTCAGAAACTGAATCCGACTAATCAAATTCTCTCTATATAATTAATCTAGTTTAATACTCACTAAATGTTAGAGAGCATATGTGACCCTGGAGCACAAAACCAGTCTTAAGTGTCAATTTTTCAAAATTGAGATTTATACATCATCTGAAAGTTGAATAAAAAAGTTCTCCATTGATGTATGGTTTAATATATTTACAGTAGGAAATGTACAAAATATCTTCATGGAACATGATCTTTACTTAATATCCTAATGATTTTTGTCATAAAGGAAAAATCTATCATTTTGACCCATACAATGTATTTTTGGCTATTTCTACAAATATACCCCAGCGACTTAAGACTGGTTTTGTGCTCCAGGGTTACATATAGTAAAAAAAGCCTGTGAAATAGTGTTGTTTGTTAGTAAGTCTATCACAGCGTGCCCTTTTCCCGTTGCCAAAAGCAGATGAGCTCCTGCCATAAGGCCACTACTGCGATCATTTTTCAGACGTGATGTTCTGCCGTGAGTGCCTGTTAGCATCACAGCTGAGAAATGTTAAGCAAAGAGGCGATTTGGCAAATTCTCAAGCTCTCCACTTGCTGTACCTGCAATGAATGCTAAAAGAACAAACAAACAAACGGAAGACAGAGATGATCTCTGCTTCTCTGAGCTGAGGAAAAAACTGTATAGAGCACATGAAGATGACGACCAAGGAACGAGAGACGTCTTCACCTGTAACCTGGAATAAAAGATGCGAAGCCCCGCCCACACACTCACCTTTGGCCATTTGGGGTTAAGGAGGCGGGCTTTGACTGCGTCGTCCAGGGCGATCTGGTACTGACCCAGTTTGAGGTGGGCGGCCGAGCGGTTGCTGTACAGGATGCAGTTCTGCGGGTCGGCGCGCAGGGCCTCGCCGTAAAGCTTCACGGCCATCTGGAAGTCTCCCAGCTGGCAGGCCTCGTTGCTTTGCCGCACCTTCTCCATGAACTCGGCCTTGCTGAGGCCCGGGCCATCGGCGGCGGCGTGCACAGCCCTGCCCAGTGCTCGTGGTCCAAACAGACCAAACTACCCAGGAAGAGACACATCAGAGAGACGCATTAGTGGATTCAGATTATTACCTGTTTTTTTAAAGGCAACTGAAACAAGCTTTTCATGCAGCAAGGATGCATTAAATTCATCAAAAGTGACAGTAAAGACATTTATAATGTTACAAAATAATTCTCTTTCAAATAAATTCTGTTCTTTTGAACTTTCTATTCATCAAAGAATCCTGAAAAATAAAATGTATCAGGGTTTTCACAAAAATATGAAGCAGCACAACTGTTTTCAACATTGATACTAATCAGAAATGTTTCTTGAGCAGCAAATCAGCATATTAGAATGATTTCTGAAG